ACAGTTCTTATAGTTTTTCCTTTCCTTGATCCTAAAAATATTCAGCTTTAGGTGTGAAGGTTCTAGATAAAACCCTGGTTCCTGTGAAAATAAGGGGAGCTTTCCAGTGATTTGAAGGTGGGCAGGTCTCATCCATGCATAAAAACCTGTTTGATGGTGTCCTGCACCTTGGCTATTTGATCAATGTATAATGAATCAGAACAATCAAAATGCATTTCAGCTTCTTTATATGGCTATAGATACAGCTCAGCACAGATGACAGACATGTTTATCCTCTCTTTTCATCCTTCTTTAGTTAAGGACTACTTCAGCTCCCCTGTGCAGAGAACCAGACTCAAGCCAGAAGCCCGTCTACAAAAATGAAATGAAGTCACAATGAGACCTTGCTTGCCAAGACCAACATCTGCCACATATAAGTGAAGGCTAAAAGTCTCTCAGTACCTGGAGCAGTTCAAACAATGACAAGTGATCATTGGAGATAATCAGATTACATTATTTGATTTAATTTTCATTTTTACCAGCATGACAATTTTGTGTTCAATGAGTCAAAGGAGATGTGGCCCAGATTCTTTCTTACATTTACATTTTTCCATTTCTTATTTCAGTATAAATATAGTTTTCTATGCAAAATGGAGCAAAGTACCCCCAGATGGAAGGAATGAACATCTTATGTACCACACACCAAATTCCACCTTATGCTTTTCTACTAGGCATCATCCCCTCCAGAGACAAAAGTCCAAATGTCTTCCAATGATGTCACGTGATCTAATTTAATGTGAAGTTTGTGATGTTCTATCTAATCCCACTCTGCTACTGTTCTTGGTCATCTTCGCCCATAGGAATAATTTATTGGCTTGCCTGTTAGAGTTGGAAGTGGCTGTGGATTTTCTTGGAAGCTAGGAGAAGACAGGAACTGTAGGAAAGGAGAAAAGAGTGGGTGGCAGTGTTCTTCAGTTTAAATCTTAAGTTTTGGGAGGTGGATCCTCGACCTCCCGTGGAGGCTCCTGTCACTTTTTTTGCTGCTGATGCAGAAGGGCAGGCTGTTTTACAGGCAAAATCCTTGCATATACTGCTGGGGTTTCCTGCTCCACATAACTCCAAGAGCTGAAGAGGCCTCTAGATATAGACTTAGGGTTTGGTGCCCTTAAGAACACCAGCTAGCCTAAACGATATGCTTATACTACTCTGCTACTCTCTCTTGTTTCTTTCTCCAGGGTGAAGGTCTCTTATAAGTAGGGATCCTTCTAAGCTACTGCAAAGAAGCTTGATGGTGATAAATCTTCATGTTCAGATGTATTTATTTAAAAAATATTGTACCTTTTTATTTGACCTGCAAAACAGCACAATGACAATGAATTTTACTTCCTTTCCTTAAAGTATGGTATTGTCTTTGTAGAGCTGCATCATTTTAATATCCTTTGAAATGCAGATGGCATCAAATGAGTTAATACTGTTTGTCTGAAAAGAAACTATTTTTATCATAAAAGTAAAATTACTTTGAAAAATGCACTTTAATTGAAATCCCATTTAAAGGGTAAAATTATGTTATTGATTATGATCAAAATGTCCCAGATGCTGATGAATTCATCAATTCCTGTTTAGACGTGTTATAAATCTTTTAGTGGAGGCAGGGGAACGTGAATGAGATGAATATTTTCAAATTATAGTGGCACATTACTTTTTATGCCCAACTTTTTGTTCTGTGTAATATACCTGAATAGAAATGGCATGTAAGAGCAGCTGTAGAAAAACTAACACACAATGGAAATCTACATTATAAATCAAGCTGAACTCAAAGTGGTTTATATCAATAAAAAGTACGTTTAAAAAAACATGACAAATAGTTTTGAGGTTTACTGAAAAATGGTTTCGGTAGTTGCTCTGTTAAAGAAAAAGACTTGCAGTAAATATATGTAAAGTAGTTTGCTTTCAAACGTAGTCAGGCATCAGACCAATATTTCCAAAGTAGTGTGAGGAACATCATGCTCCATGAAGCATCTACTTCAAGATCTGTTATGTAACACACATTATTTCCTGTAGTGAATTAAACACTACTCACTTTGAAACTACAATACAGACTTGTTGAATCTTTGTCTCTGACAATGGCAAGCTCCTAATAATAGAAATTACTTTTCATCTAAGTCCTTGTTAATAAACATTTTGCCAGCTTCTTGTGTTATGTGGAGTGTCTTCTGGGTTTGGGGCAGTGGTGTGTTACCATATTAACCCATATCGGAGATGAGAGTTCCCCATCCACTTAACACAGAGAAAAAAAACCCTTTCCCCATCAGTGGGTATGGGACGGGAAAGCATCAGTTATGACTGCAGCTGTGCCTTTAACTCTGGCCCTGAAGTGGGCTTGGATTCAGAGCCATAGCCACTGTTCCCCAACTGCCTCTGCCCCCGCAGCATCTGCCCCTCCCTGCCACCTCCCTACTCTCCCTATCTGCCCTGCTAACTACCTGCTGCTGCCTCTGGCCCCCTGCCCCCACTGCTGTCATTAACCCGGTATTCCTGGCTCCAGCCCTGCTCTAACCCAGAGCACATGGTTGCTCTGGCCCCTGATAAGCTATGTAACAACAGTGGCAGCAGATCCAGAACCAGTTCCAGAGCTGTTGCTACTGCCTCCCTGCTCCCCCACCACCTGCCCTCCATTGCCCCCCCCCACCTCACTGCCACCTGCTCCTGCATTACTGGCTTTGCTGCTGCTGCTTGCCCTGCTGCAGCAGTGGGGGGCACAAATTTAAGACAATCCTCCAATAATTATATTCTATACATGGGAAATTATGACAAATTTATGCATTTTCCATGCGTAGAATCCAATTGTTGAGGGGGTAATCTTAAATTCAAAGTCGTCTTGGGTTAGGGTAAATGCATCATTTGTTTGGGGGTTTTTGAAGGGCTATTGTGGCATACGGTAGAGAACATTGGAGATGTGGTTCCTAGTCTCAGCTATACCACTAATGTATTATGTCCTTATGGGCAAATAACTTCCCTTCTTAGCCTCAGTTCCCCTGTCTGTAAAATTGGACTAATGATACTTCCCACTCATATGAAGAGGTTTGAGAGCTGAATGAAAAATAATTTAAAAAGCTAGGTTTCATCATCATTTTTATTATTTATTAGACTTCCTTGACATTTTGAGACTTTGTATTTTGTACCTCTTCTTACTCGGTCTTTTGTATTCAAATGGTGAAATATGTCCATATTAAATTCTGTTGTTTATATAAAATTGCTTTAAAGTGAAGCAGTGTTAAAAATAATGTGCACCTCAACCTACCTTGCTCTAAAACAACAGTTTTAATAGTGCCTTTTATAACCATGCATACTTGTATTTACTGTCAACGTTTGTTATATAGTGTAATTCAATTTGATGTTGCCTTTTTTTAAGCTTAATCCTGCCACGTTAAGCACCTTTTTGAAGGCATTGTACCCTCATGTTCCACTGAAGTTAATAGGAACTTGAATAGTCTCAATATTTTACAGAATAAGGCGCCTTATCCAGGAATTGCCAATCTACAGCCCAGGGGCTGAATCCAGCTGGCAAAGGTCTGATTCTTTCTGATGGGGGGCAGGGGATAAGGGAGAGGGAAGCCACCAGTGAACAGGAGCCATGTTAAAGTGCCCATTTACAATGGTTCTGTTAAAGTGCCCACATTACAATGATGATTTAAGAGGGTTGCATTAAAGCTGTATTAAGGTGGCACTTCAAGCTTCCTGCTCTGAGCCCTTGCTGCTGAATTGGCAGCCTGCAGCAGCATCAAAGTTGCATACATTTGGCTGACTCCTCGAAAAGTTTGCTGACTCCTGCTTTATACAGTTCAAATGCTGGGTTTGATAGGTTACCATATGTCTGGGTTTTCCTGGACATGTCCTCTTTTTTGGTCCCCTGTTCTGCATCTGGGCGGGTTTTTAAAATAAGAAATGTCCAGGTTTTTTGCTCTTCCTCTACTCTCCCAGGCTGGCTGCCTGGGACTGCTTGGGGCTGGGAGCAGCAGGTAAGGTGACTGGCTATTGGGGGCCATGTGCTCCCTGCATGGGCCTTGGCAAGCTAGGTAAAGTGATGCTGTGTGTATGGGTGTGTGCGTATGGGTGTGCATGCGACGTGGGAGCTGCTTGGGCAGCTGGGCTGGGGGGGGACAGGGGTCTGCGGGTCAGGAGTGAGGGGCACTGGGTGGGGAGGGGCCAGGGAGCTGTTGGTCCA